GCCTGGGCAGGTTATACACATTCTTGGACGGACCCAGGTCATCTCGCATGGGCGGCGGAATACCCGTGCAAGAGAGGTATGAGAGGAATGTCTGGTCGTGTCATGCAATGAAGGAAAGTTGTTTCATAAAGCAGAATTAAGCATGCAAATTGAAAGAAAGGACAACATGTCCGTGTCTAAACACGTGCTTGAAGTCATCGACCAGGAATGCCACACGATGAGCTGGGTGTGACCTTGCCTGTCCGGGTGATTGAAGCTGGGTACGGTTCTCTCGTCTATCCTTCACCACAGAGTTTCCCATGACGGGATCAGAACAACGCCAATATGCCAGGGTGCTGTCGGGGCTTCACTGATACCCAGACAACTTCAAAGATTTCATTCATCGATGAAAGTGCCTGGTAATGACGGGCAAGAATCCTATTCGAATCCACTTGACTGACAAAGAGTGCAATGAGCCATGTTGAAGCACCTGTCATGACGATTAGCAGTTAAGAAGTTTGAAGCACGGGTATGGAATGACGACGTAGCGCTGGGCTCCAGGCTGGCATTTTCAACCGTGCCGTCTGCTGACTGCTGCGCTGGTGCCGCGTCAAAGGTCAACTGTCGACAGAGCCCGCCACCCACCCTCGACTCGGCTAGCGCTCAAATCACTTCCGCTTACCCACGCGCCGTCCGCAAATGAGATTTGCCCGCGGGGCTGGAAGTGTCAGCGTCGGTGCAGGGGAAGGGGGCCGGGGGGCGTCCACTCAACCTGAGGGCGTCTGGTTCCGGGGTGGCCGGCCGGCCGCTTCCCTCGGGGCCGTCAGGGCTCCATTTGCCAATTAAACCGGCCTCGCCAAGTGCTGGCCCAGTGACGAGCGAGCTCAGCTCGCCTCGGGCAGCGTTTGCAGAGACGACGCTTCGGGTAAAGCCGCGGTTCTGCTCGAGTGCGTGGGTGTAGACTGGTCTTGTCATCACATGCGGACCTTGGGTTGGGTTCAGCCACCACATGCGGACTGGCCCTGTAGCTATGATGACCTGTCATCTAGAGTTGTCAAACGGACTGGCCCTGTAGCTGTGATGACCTGTCATCTAGAGCTGTCAAACGGACTGGCCCTGTAGCTGTGATGACCTGTCATCTAGAGTTGTCAAACGGACTGGCCCTGTAGCTGTGATAATCTGTCATCTAGAGTTTTCAAACGGACTGGCCCTGTGGCTGTGATGACCTGTCATCTGGAGTTGTCAAATGACCAGCTAATCATATACAAGGTCACTCAAACGGAGAGGCACGCTATCCACATGCCGCTGCAGTGGGGTCGCTGTGGGTATGCGTCTGTCAGATAGCACGTGGTGGGATCAATGGCAATTTCTATTGATCATTGGTCACAGGAGGTGCCCAGAGCACGCCGGACATGTGGATACCAAACGGCAAGGATTGGCTGAGGCTGTCAGAACACACATTCCGCTATACACATGGATGGCTGGTGTAGGAAGTTGTGAAGAAGGCGTGCCGTACTTTGGTGGCGTGTGATTTGTTCTGTGGAACTCATCGTGCCGTGCTGTGCTGTTCTGAGCAGTATATAACGTGTGACGCAACATTCAACACTGTCAGGAGTCCTGAGAACAGAAGGCTGACTCGGTGCGCCTCCTGAAACACCTCACGGTCGCCGCAGCCTCCGTAGCTGTCCTGCAGCGGTCTCAGCAGTGGTCTCAGCCGGCCGTCCCAGAACGTCCGTCCGGACGGTCCTCTCATAACTCCCGAGTCTTGCCCGACCCCGGGACGCCCGCCGCCCTGGACCCCGTCCAGTCCCCCTCCCCCCCCCCCCTGCGCGCGCTGAAAGTGAGAGCGCTCGGCGGCGAGCGCCGGCCGGCGCCGGGACTTATCGTCTAATCTGGGCGGGTCAGCGGCCGGCGGCGGCACCTCACCTGCGAGCCAGCACAGTTGGCGACGGCGCCAAGGTCACGAACAGAGCCCGGCTCCGCACCTGGCGCCGCCGCCGCCGTCTCCCGGAGACGCCCGGACCGGGCAGGGGCAGGGGGCGGTAGAGGTGCGGGTGGGGATGGCGAACACTAAGGCGAAAGAGACGCCTTTCAGCCTCATGACGGCTGGGCTAGCGGGATAGTGTCTGGAGGACCACGGTAAAGTCTTGATCCTGGCAAGAGGTCTGACTGAACTGTAATGTCACGGCCCATCGCAGTTATCAATAAAGAGCTCTACTCCATAAGTGTCTCGAGAGGAGACGTGTTCCCCAACGAGCACCCAGCTCTAAATCCGTAAGGGTTTTGAGCAACGGAATCTTCGGAGGATGGGCGTAAACATGAACACCTGACAGAAAAGCGAAAATAAAAGACCTCAACAAATGATAACACATTCCCCGTCGTACAATGCCTGCGCCGTGTCACATTTGAGGTCATTTGCGTCACCAAAGTCAAATTCCTGATAAAGTAGTGTATGATTTGATAGTAATAAATCCAGAGCCTCCCAATATAAATCTTGCAGCACTCCAATATAAGCCTGGGACTTGGGATTCTCAACGCTCGTTTTCCAATAACAAATGCATGTTTATCTTTCCAATGATGAATCATACATACGTGTTTACAAAAGCGTTTACGCAGGGCTTTAGAGTAAAATATCTTAGTTTACTCGTAATCACAATGTTATCATTTCTGATTATATCGTCAGTCGCTTGAATACCTTTTGCTACCTTTTTTTTGGCTACCTAATTGTTTTTGTTTTTGCTACCCAATTGCACCTAATTTTACCTAATTGTTGATACAGGTTTTTTATAAACACTGCCCTTGAGTTAGCGGGATCACTTTTAACTTACCAAATCGTTTATTTCGTGTTTCGTTTCTTTTTGCCATAACTTGTGAGAGTCCAATAGTTGGAATTCATTGATGACGCCGCTAAAAACTTTCCAACTATTCCTTGGTATGCCAACTATGTCTTACCCAGACTTGCTCTTGTCATCATGACTGTCAAGTCATATGTTGGTAGTTCGTGACTGGACGATTTCAAACTAGGATGAGCCTGTGTCCAGGTGCAAGAACTTAACCCACACGATATTCATTTGCAAGGAGAATGATTCCGCGTAGAGCGCTTTCGCTGCGCCCATTATGCCCAATGTTCTGCGTAGGCATTTTTGTAGCGAATGTTTGTGTTCGGCCCAGCCACACATTTTCCTCAATATATTTTTCCTGCTCAGGAGACTTGGACTCTATAGTATCTCTCCCACACGACTTGCTCGCAAAGATCCATATTCCTAATGTTTCTCTTCACTTATAACCTTTCTATTTCTGAGAAGACTTTCTCGGCTGCGTGTAGTAGTTTGTATCGTAAGAAAATTTGTTCGATGGGTCAGGGTGTCAAATCGGAGGTCATCTCCTGTCGTTCATGTTATCTTAAGTCAGCCGTAAGATGTTTCTTCAGGCCAATTTTTGGCCCGCGGCCAGGCTGAGGATCACCACCAAACGTCAATAACAAACCTCGGAAGCCTGGGGCATACCCTTGTTCGAGGCAAAACCTCGCTAAAACACGGTGATCTGTTGCTCCCGGACATCACAAGTCCCGTTCACAAATATACACAGCCTGCCCACGCCAGATCCCCGTTCCAAATCGTGCCTGGAGACGGCGCTCCCGACAGGTGGCCCCCTGAGACCGTCTACAGACCGTCCCCGGCCGGGCGCGGCTCACCCGGATGTACCTGGGAGGCATCAGCAAGGCTGCTCCCACTGCTGCGACGAGTACGGGTGGAATGGAGGGCCCTACTGTCCGAGGTCAGTGGCTATGTGTTTTATCCATGCGCCCTCGTCCGTGGCGCCGTTCAGCTAAAATAGCTTTCGGAAACAGCAAGGCCGTTTGGCTAGAACGTGCTTCAGTTTTGTCCGAGGGCGACACTGCGCTGAGAGGCACCCTCCAGCGGCTGGTCTCAGGCCGACACAGGGAACGGTCCGGTGCGTCACGGTTTACAGCTTCAGGGCCGCACGAACCGGCCCAGTCTCAACAGCTGACGCAAGGACGGTGGAATGACCGCCGCCATCGTCATCGATTCATCATCTGGTCCGGAGCTTTGCGGCCAAAGTCAGCAATCGGGCCGGCGTGGGGCAGGCCAGGCCTGTCAATACAGCAATGAGTGGTGCTGCCTGATCCAGCGCTGGCCTGCTCACTGGGGCGGCCGATCGCTGTGCTTTGCACGAAGTTCGATAGGGGATTGGCGTGCGAGGCCACTACGGTTAGGCGTGACAGCGTGTGTTGTGTTCAGACGTTCAGGTCTTCGTGGGGGACTTCCTGACGTAAAATTGCGTCGCATTTAGACGAATTCGAGGAAAAGAGAGAGGCAGGCGAATTGGCGAATTTCAAAGTGACGCTATTAAAACGACAGGTTGGATTTCTGGGCCATCTCAGCCTGCCTAGCCAACCATCCCTGCCATATAGCATTGCTTCTGAGATCGTATGATAAAAATGACAAGCGTTTGAGCCATTTTCCTCATTGGCAAGTCACTAAAAGAGCTATTGAAAAATATCCGATGCAACATTAATACTGGAGCAGGAAATAAATAGACAACAAAATATGGTACGAAACATTTTCCTGGGAATGGCATTAACGTCACAAACCTCTGCAACGGAGTAGCGAGGCATTCTGTGTACAAAGAATATGCTAACTGTCGCTAAAAAAAATGTTGAAACAAAACGTCTTGGATATTTTGGAAAGTCCAAATGCTTTTGAAAAGCTATCGGAATGATGCATAATTCGAGAACTTACTATTGTCAATATAGCGTTAACGCTCATGGCTTTAAGGAATCTCCAGCCACCACTCGAACACATAAGTCTTATTTTGACCCAAGCAACACACCGGCCTCGACGCTATCGTGTTCAGGCCGTAACCCAGCCTTTACCCGGCATCAGCCAATGCAGTGCAGGTGAGCCGAGCCTGCGGCCGGGACTGCTCCGAGTCCGCGTACGAGCCAGCAGGCGCCAGAGGTGGCCGACCTGGGGACGGCCACGCCAGGGGTGACTGACCTGCGTCGGCGTACGTCTCGGAGCCGTAGCCGTCCTGCAGACCGTTGGCCCAGGTGCCCTCATACTTGGCGGATGAGGTGGTGGACTGGCGCACCCCGTAGCGGCCCTTGAAGCCCTGCGTCCACTCGCCGCGGTACAGCCACCGGCCGCGCGTCTCTACACCCAGGCCGTGGCGGCGTCCGTTCTGCCAGTGGCCTTCGTACGTGCTCCCGCTGCAACAAAAGGTCCGGTCAGGTCACGGAAGCTACGGGTGTGATAGCAACGATACACAATGGATCTCGCTGGTTCCTCTTCAGTAAAAAGGCTTTTGAGCGACGCGTTGAGATTCTTTTCACCACCTTGGCTATGTTTTGCTTTTTTGTGATGTGGAGTAGGGCAGCACTCTTGCATAAGCCCGTCCTCTAACACTCAAGTCCAGTGCCTCTAGATTAGTATACTGATGGTGACCTCAGCCGTGGCACGTGGGCGTTGACCGGATGGGGTGAATGTAACCGACTATGGCAGGGTCAGTTGGTACCGGTTTATCCACCTGGGATGCAGCAAAAAGTGTGTTAGGTTGTGAAAGTTACGATCAAGCGTCACACAACACTTCGAGCAGGGCGTCATGGGTGAAGGCTGAACGAGAATGGTCCTCTCGCGATAAACGCAGTCAGATAAACGCCATCACCATAGGTCGAGTGGGGATCTTCGGCCGCCTTCCACAAGACGAATGTTTCGATAAACGGCAAAGCTTCAAGTGTTTTCGTATGTCACGACATCGCCCCACGCGTAACAGCGAACAGAGTTTCACGTCGACAGACTTTCTAGTTTTTCGTCCATTTTGCGTGAACGTTCGGCACTGTAGGGAATGTCGCACTCGCCAACATATTAGGCGAAATTACACCGGTGGTAGATTGGGTAAAGTGCGCTGTACCTGCCTCACTGGCAAAGTGCTTCACAGTTCGACCTTCATATCGTGAACTAGGCCAACGCAAGCTAGCCGTTGAACTTTAAGCCAGCTGCTGCGCGATAAGTGCACTTCTGCGTTATCGTCTGTTTAAAACACGCCTTACAATCTACCGCCTAGGCAGAGGCAATGATTCAGAGCACCGCCGTTAAATCACACTTGCTGACCTCGCCTCCCTTCGGCCGCTGCGGGTGCGAAAAGTCGGCACGTCATCGAGCGTGCGCCGTTCTCTGAGCGGCTGCCACGTCACAAACGCTCGTGCATCCGCATCAATAGCATGCCGTCGGCGGCCCGCCTGCCGCCGAGACTTGCAGACGGGAGCTGCTCAGCTTCACCCGGCACGCCGCGAGCTTCCAAGAATTCTGATAAGTTCTGCGGAAACTGGAGGTTCTGCCGGCCGGCTGAGCCCGGTGCACCGGAGCGCACGGCGAGTCTTGGCGGGCGCGCGTGGCCACCGCGTGAAAGATGCATCAGACGGGATATCTGGCGGGACACGATTTTTCTGATGACATAGGCGCTGACTCGGCACCGCCTGAGCGAGTGTTGAGTGGCAGCACACTAAGGACTAGCGCATCACTCCACTGATTCCCGACGGCCCCTGCGAGGCTTCGTGGTCGACGCGGAGGGCGCTCCGTGTGCCGCTGCATTCCTCTGGTGCGTGTGTACGTCCTGTCGGCGCCGGCGGTCAGCGGAGTCTTGAAAATACCGCGCGGCGCCGCTCAGCAGGCAGCCGTTGTCGAATGGCGGGCGGCGTACCAGCAACCCCTCCCCCCGACTGTGGGAAATAGCATTTAACGCTGCGGCGTTGCATGGAAATCAGCCATGTAAAATCGCTCGCTCCGTCAGGGGTCCGTCGTCGCTGGCTGGCGGGGCGTGCTGCGTTGCCTAGACCGGCTTCAGATATTGCGCAACGAGTGCGCTGCAGTCGGTTGCTGCCAGCCCAAGCTCACAGCGCGGCACGCAGCCACTGTCAGCGGCATGCGGACCAGTTCTGTGCAGTAAATCACACGTGGTGGCCGCGTGATGTGTCAGCGACCCACTTCAGCTCCGTGCGTGCGTTCAGGCAGTACAGCAACACTGCAGGGGTGATATACTGGTCACCTCAAGCCACGTGTCATGGTCAGGCTTCAGTCCCAGCTTCGCCACTTGCCAAGCAGGACCTCTTTTTGCGGCACGAATATGTGTTACAAACTCCGTAGCAGCGCTCCCCTCCCTCCCACCTCCCTCGGAGGAGAATGGTTGAGCCCATGGCGTGCCATCGCTCTTCACGACGAAAACCGACCTTAACGATTCCCTGTGCCGCGTGGCAACTCAGGACTCGCGATGAGAAGCGCACGATGCTTTGAACGGCAAAATGACTAGTCGAATCGTCTGTGTCGTGCGCACCCGCTTACAGACAATGCAATCCGCATGCGTTTTATGACCAGATTACGACCTAGCTTATTCTGGTCATCAATGTGCACAGGTATGCCTACATTTGGTGACGTTTTGTTTTTTGTGCTTTTTGGCTTGTTCCTGGTCTAGCAGGCACCATTCCATTAAGACAGTTTTATTTGCTTGTACATAACAAAGCATACGCTGTATTTGCATTCGATGGCTCGAGATCACCACAGTCATTTGGTCAAGGAACAGCTGTCTTTCTCGAAAACACAGGCGTCCCAGCCATTGCGAACACACGATGCATGCGAACGAAGTCGTCATAATGTTTACGGCAGCTGCTGTATTGGGACTAGGGAAACACGCCTCCCTGAGCGTAGGGGAGATCTTGTGCCCTTCGGTTTTGACGTATTGCATGATGTTGCATTGTGCACAGTTAACTGCACGAGAGCGTCTTCTGCCGACAACCACGGACCCCGCCCATGTGGCGACGACTCACACTAACAACGAGGAAACGTTGGACTGATCACGAATGATGGCATTCGCCAAGCCTTAGTCAGAGTGGACAAACGAATATCGAAAACTCCGTTGTTCGCGACTCGCCTCCACTGACACATGCAGGGCCTTCTGGGAATAAACATGCCACAGAACAGGGGCTGGAAAGCTTTCAGGTTTCCGTGTCACTGTTTACCATGGAACCGTGTCTCAACCCACTGCATTTATAATTGCTTTTCGCGTCCACATACGGTGTTCACGACCGCGCTTTAAAAGCATGCCTTGAAAACCAGCAGTATCGCCGGCAGATGACAAGAAAACTTATAACTATCCATCGTTACGACGAGCGTTGGCATTCCGAAACCGGAAAATCACGCACATAACTCACGCGACCTGAGCTGTTGCCGCGCGACGTGGCTGACCATGACGCGACATAGTTGGCCATGAGGTTTGTACTGCTGCCGGAGTTGCAACTTTGTGTCCAATGTTCCAATGCCATTTCTCAGCGAGCAGTTCATCAGAGGTGACTAGTACCCATTGGCGTTATCTTGCATCGGCGGCATTTCTACGCGTTATAAACTGCTTCTAACATGAATCCGCATGCAACATTTTGGCAGCGAAATGGTGATAATTTGCACAACGTATTTTTCCACGCGTTCGAATGACATGACGCATGAATGTGTATTTTTACGTATTGTTTGTATCAGCCGTACAAATTGCAATATTAAGAATTCTCTTATAAATATATTTCAGTAAAATCCTTGAAATATTAGTAACTGCGTTCTACACTACATGCAATAAAAAGTTGTGTCAAAACTTTTGCTTTTGTTGATATACCTGAATGTTTTACGTCACGACTTGACTAAAGTCATGATAGAATATTGTGGAAGTCAATCTCTTTCAATGAACCACGATCTAATTAATCAACACCGTATCGCAATATGGTCGGCTATAATGTCTGCTGATTGGCCTGCAAAGATGTCCGATAGCGCGATCGATAGCTCACAAACACGCGACATGCCAGAACTATTTCAGAAACGGTCTTCTGCATCAGTTCTTGAACTCAACCATTCAGGTACCGTCAGTTTTACACCCAGTTCTCCTCTTACGCCGAATGCCAATGGGTACAAACACCGAGTGTGATGATAAATTTGACAAGATTTTAATTTTACATAAGGTCCATCCTTTTACACAATACATGCGCTCAATCGAGCGGCCGCACCCCAGGCATTTACTAGCCTTGGCACAGCTGGCTGGCAACCCAGCAGACTGCAGAAGCCTCCGGCAGTGCGCTGCGAGCACCTGTCAGCAAAACCGCGAACACGCTCGTCCGCCGCACCGGCGCACCGTGAGCGCCGTCAGCAGACCGCGAACACGCTCGCCCGCCGCACCGGCGCACCGTGAGCGCCGTCAGCAGACCGCGAACACGCTCGCCCGCCGCACCAGCGCACCGTGAGCGCCGTCAGCAGACCGCGAACACGCTTGCCCGCGCGCGGTCGGCGGTCGGCGCGCTCCCAGACCGAGACCGCTGGTCGCCGGCCAACCGCCGACGCGAATGCCCGGAATTCGCCCCAGGGCCAGTCTCAGGGTCACCGCCGGTCGCCCCGGGCCGGTCACGTGGTGTCGCCCGCGGACCGCGCCGCGCGTCACGTGATGTCTAACGTTACCGACGGCCGGAAGCTCTGGCGGTGCGGATAGTTTGTCGCGGGCGGCGGTGCTGCCAGACCGGCGGGTATTTGGTGCGCCGGGAGATGTTAGCGGCCGTTGTCGATTTGGTCCGCCAGGGAAGCATGCGGTGACATCTTGCGGTGACATCTTCGCCTCCTTCGGGTGCCAGTTATAGGACAATAGAAACGTTTGTGGGTGGTGTAACGCAATCGACGAAGTTGCGCACGCAAATAATCGTGTGCCTGTCGCATAAATATTGGAATAACTATAAAAACATAAACGTGCGTCCACTAAGCTGTGAGCAGACATCACGCAATCAATTTGATACAGTCTGGCCTTAAAGTCACTTTGATGCCAAGTCAAATCACGGAGCTGTGATGTCGCGAGTGTCACCGGCCATCAGTCCCATGCTTGCTCGGTGGCATTGGAAGACTACAGGCGAGAGATGCAATGTTTGGGGCTGTGCCTAGTTCAGGGCTCGACGTGCCTCGAGTGGTCCCTGGACCAAAGCAGGCCGTCTACGAGCGGCACCGAAAGAAACCTGTGGACATTGTTTTCAAAGCCTGATGATCCAAAGCATTGTTACGAAGGACACGCTATCAAAATTTAGCAAATGGTGGCAAATATGTGGAATTTGAGTGGCCAGCTTGCATATGCCATCAACATATCAAACAACCGCAGGAGCAAGGCCGGCGAAGAGTCACCATCTACTATGTGCCAAGACAA